AATGACATTCTATTGAACAGTTGCCTTCTGAAGATATTTGACTAATGGAGGAGACTCACAAAGCAGTTCTTGACTGGATAATTCCTCCTGGGAAAACACTAGCAGAAACTTCTTGATACATCAGTATAATGGATATCTAGTTCATGGTGATCTATGGAGCACAGTATACATGGTTTTTTTAATGATACTCTGTATAGAACCTGCTTTGTATCCCAAAGCGTGGCTACTTTTTGGCTGAAAAAGAGAGTTTAATATTAGGACTTTCAGAATCCCAGACCATTAGCCACTCTATCTGGGATTTATGGCAACAATATTTGAAAATGCTGGAAGGCACCAGGTTGCCTACATTTTCCTCAGAGTAGGAGGGCCTTACAGGTTTTCTCTTTTGTGAGTTGAGAGGTTATTTTAACATGGATTACCACAAGACATCATTGTTGGAAAATCTTTGCATTCTCTTTCCCCTTCCTTAGATAGATAGGGATTTCCTGCTTGCAAACTCCTCTCCTCCCCCTCTCATTCAAACTAGCCATGTGACATAGGTTACTCCCTCTTTGGGAATAACAGACTTTCAAGATTTTCCATCTTCCTGCTCCCTCAACTTTGTTTTGAAAGATGGTGACATAAATATTTCTTTACCTCAACCACTCACTAGTTACATTAGGATATAGCCTTTTATGTAAATTATAGGTTAAAGCCAATTTTTTAAATTACAAGCTATTGTTTGTTATTGTTTTTAGTCACTCTCAGTTCTTAGGGAAGCATAGTTAGGCAAATGTACATTTCTGCTATTCTCCTAATTTAAAGCCAGACTCTAACAGCTCAAAAAGGCTGAACCCTTAGGAAACTTAAATTACCCCACAATCTTTTATGCTTATTTATCTTGGGGTGTATGGGGCAGGATCTGTTTCATCTGCTGCAGCAAAAACAGTCGAGAGTCCTATGGTCCTTTAAAAATCAACAAGTCTAATTTGGCAAAAGCTTTCATGGACTCTTGCCCATTTCATTAGATGTGCCTGGCCTGGAGTCCATAAAAACTTGTGCTAGATAAAACTTGTTAAGTCTTTATGGTGCCACAAGACTCTTTATTTTGGCTTTTATTTAAGTGTAGACCAGAGCAAGCTTGCACAGAAAATCTTATAACCTTAGCAAGAAGGCAAGTGTACCCTTCCCAGTTGAATCCATTTGTTTCACAGACTCTGGGTCTCAGCCACATAGATCCAGTTGTGCAACTGTGCAGGGGCTTGGACTACCCCCCAACTCCCCCAAACCACCCCAAAGCACATGCCAAAATACCTCCTTTTCTAGACAAAATGGCTACCAGAAGTGATATTGTGTCATCCCTATCCTTCCCATTGGGGAAGGATATAGAAAACTTGAGATATTTGGATGGGTGTTTCTACAAATTGTCACTTTATTGGAGGGTTTTTGTGTGGTTTCAGGATAAAATCATGAAGATTAAAAAAAACTATTTGAGGGAGTTGGGGCCCCCAAATAGCAGCTAGGGGTTGCAGTTCCTGCAGTCCTAGTGTAGATGGTTAAACTGAGGGGGATAGATGAAGGCAGCAACTAATATTGGAATGTACAGTGAAACTTTTAAAAGTTTCAGTTCTAGTATGGCATTGTTGGTGTGAAAGGAGCCTGTAGCTTCAGGCAACTAAGGGCCTTTATAGATCACCAGAAATAATGCAACTTGAGTCCACTTTAACTGTCCTGGCTCAGTGAGAAGGAATCATGGGAAGTGTAGTTTATTGTGGCACCAGAGCTCTCTGACAGAGAAGGCTCAATGTCTCAGAAAAAACTACAATTCCCATGATTCCCTAGCACTGAGCCAGGGCAGTTAAAGTGGACTCAAGTTGCATTATTTCTGGCAGTCTGTAAAGGCCCTAAATTGTTAATACCATAACAGAGAGTCTCAGTTTTTCCATACAAATTTCACGCCTTGCGGGTAAATGTAAACATGCATTCAGACAAGTCTGCCTTAAGGGGTGTGATCAAGAATTCTAAGTAACTGAACATCTTGTCAAAGACCCTTTGAAGAGCAAAATCCACTTGCTTTATCATACAAGTACTGTTAGGTTTAGATGGGACATAGAGTCAATGTTAAAATGTTGAA